GCCACCGGCGGCGCTTCTATTTTGGTGAGGCAGGGTGTGATTCATAGCCCTGTCCCCCTTAAAAGTCCTCTTCAGGCGGTTGCTGTCCGTCTTTCGTTACAAATAACCTTCACTCTTTGTTCATTGTACATTTCTCCATCTTCAGCTCTTCAGCAGTCTGATCTTCAGGATCTATTCGACCAGCTTCCCAAGCCCTGTATTATCATGGGTGATCTTAACGGTCATAACCCTTTGTGGGGAAGTACTGATACTAACATTAAAGGGAAAATCCTCGAAGACTTCATTTCTAATAATGACCTGTGCATATTTAATGATGGATCAGCCACGTATTTACACCCTGGTACAGGAACATATTCTGCACTAGATCTATCACTCACAGACCCAAATATTTATAACGAATTCGAATGGTCAGTTCATGATGACCTGTGTGGAAGTGACCATTTCCCCACAATACTTTCAGCTGTAAATCCAACCGATGATCCTCCTGCAACAAGGCGAAATTTTAATAAGGCCAACTGGTCATTATATCAGACACTTTGTACTGACGAACTGAAATCTGACTTTTTTTGTCAATGCTCTAGATCCTATTCAGTTGTTCTCGGATAAACTGAATCAAATAGCTGATGAAACTATTCCTAAGTCCTCTGCGACACCACACATTCGTAAACCATGGTTTACAGATGATTGTAAACAGGTCAGGAAGTGTAGGAAGAAGGCAGAGAAATACTTTCGCCGGCATCCTACAGTTCACAATTTAAATAATGTCAAAATAAATAGTGCCAAAGCTCGACGTGCCTTTAAACAGACTAAACGTCAGTCTTGGCGAAATTATGTTTCCAAGTTAAATTCACGCACACCAATTTCAAAGGTGTGGAACATGATTCAACGAATAAAGGGCAAGGGTTCCAAATCTACTGTCCACCATCTGAGGGATAATGATAATTTATTAACTGATAAGTCTGGCATTGCCAATACGCTTGGTGCAACTCTCGCCAAACATTCTTCTTCGTCAAATTACGTACCAGAATTTCAAAAATATCAGAAACAACAAGAGAAAAGGAGAATAAATTTTAACTCAGACAATGGCGAAGACTATAATGAATTATTTTCATTACATGAGCTCCACACTGCCCTTGAGCAAGCTCATGACACAGCAACAGGAGCTGATAGTATACACTATCAGCTCTTGAAGCATTTTACCGGAATCCTGTTTGGAAACTCTTCTAAATATTTTTGACACAATATGGACTTCAGGGAATTTCCCACCTTCGTGGCGTAATGCCATTGTAGTCCCTATACCAAAGCCTCGGCCGGGATCATACTGATCCGTCTAATTACAGACCAATCTCTTTAACGAGTTGTGTCTGTAAAACCATGTAACGAATAGTCAATAATCGATTAACATGGTATCTTGAAACCAACAACCTAATAACAAATATTCAATGTGGTTTCAGGAAAAATCGTAGTACCACTGATCATTTGGTACGATTAGAATCCTTTATCAAAAATGCTATAGTCAATAAACAACATGCAGTATCGATATTCTTTGATCTCGAGAAAGCGTACGATACCACCTGGAAGCATGGCATTTTAAAGGATTTACATGATTTTGGTTTAAAGGGTCGTTTACCCTTTTTATATCACAGTTTTTAAAAGACAGGCAATTTCAAGTCCGAGTGGGTTCTACCCTGTCTGACCATTATAATCAGGATCAGGGTGTCCCACAAGGCAGTATTTTGTCTGTCACATTGTTTAGCATTAAGATCAACAGTTTATCCAAGGTTTTAAATGATTCTATCGATGGATCACTTTTGTGGATGATTTTAATATTTCTTGTCGCGGTAAGAATATGCATACCATTGAACGGCAACTACAGTTGTGTTTAAAACAAAATAAATAAATGGTGTCTTGAAAACGGCTTTAAATTTTCTAAATCAAAACTAATTGCATACATTTCTGCCGTACATATAAACCACATAAAGACCTGAACTGTTTTTTAAATGGCACTCCCATCAAAGGTTGTAAAAGAGGCCAAGTTCTTAGGTCTCATTTTCGACTCCCATTTAACTTTTCTTCCGCATATCAAATCCCTAAAAACTAAATGCCTGAAGGCACTCGATTTATTGAAAGTCGTGTCTAATTCAAGGTGGGAGGGATCAAGCTACGCTCCTACACCTTTACAGATCACTTGTCCGCTCGAAGCTTGATTATGGCTCCATCGTATATGGTGGAGCCTGTAGAAGCAACTTAAAACTCTTAGATTCAGTCCACCATCAAGGTCTGAGACTTTGTCTTGGGTCTTTAGAACTTCTCCTATTGATAGTCTCTATGTTGAGGCTGATGAGCCATCCTTTACCCAACGTCGTATCAAACTCTCTTTACAGTATATAACAAAACTCTATTCTAACGAGTCTAATCCTGCATTTAACTGTGTTTTCAATCCTTCTTATGAGGAGTTGTACAACAAAAGCCTTCTCTTGTTCCGCCTCTTGGTTTAAGAATTAAAACATTTCTTTCTGCTGCCGGCATTGAGCTGGAAAAATATAGCTCCTTCCCGTCTTCTTTCTTCTCCGCCTTAGCAATTGGTTAGGCCACAAGTTGACCTAACATTAACAGCATTTAAAAAGCAGAAACTAATGAATTACAATATAAACAAGAATATCATCAATTAAAAAAGTCAATATAATACATATAAATCCTTATTTACAGATGGATCCAAGGATGGTGGCGCGGTGGCATGTGCCACTGTCATTGATCCAGAACAATATCTTCTCGTTTACCAGATAACAGCTCTATTTTTACAGCAGAAGCAAACGCCATATTAACAGCTCTTAAATATATTAATAAACACCGTAAATATAAACAATATATCATCTTTTCTGATTCTCTTCTTGTCTTCAGGCTATTAAAAATATCTTCTTGCAAAACATCCACTTTTATTAGAAATTATTGAATTGAATAATGAGCTTGCTACTGGCAAATGCGACATCGTCTTCTGTTGGTTACCCAGCCACGTTGGCATTTCTGGGAATACCATGGTTGATCTTGCTGCCAAGGCAGCACTCAACAAATCTGTGACACCACTTCTTATTCCATACTCTGATTATAAAGCTGGCATTAGAACTTACATCCGTGATCTGATGCAGAAGAAGTGGGACGCCCAAGTAGGTATTAATAAGTTACATGCAATAAAACCCTATATTGGTTACACCTACTTGGGTTGTCAGTCCAGATTTGAAGAGGTCATTATGCGACGATGTCGCATTGGCCATACCAGATATACTCATGAATATTTATTGAAAGGCGAAGATCCTCCAGTTTGTATCCCTTTGTGATGAAGGATCACAGTCAAGCATGTCTTGCTTGACTGCATTGAATATTCCATCACAAGGATAAGTATTTTAATGTCAAAACATTGAAGGATCTTTTTAATAATGTTAGTTCTCATTTAGTTATTGCCTTTTTAAAAGAATTAGATTTGTTAACAGATTTGTAAATAGCTAAATATTTTATGATTGGAAGTTTGAATTAGTAACATAGATTGTTAGTGGCTGTATCCTCGAGGGGGGTTAAAGTACTGTAAAATTATTGTCCTCCTGAGAGGGTACGTAAGTCCCAAAACATTCAAAGTCAATTTCAACTTTCCGTTTTTTAATCGTAGAATATTTGTAATTTTAATGTATGGCTAGATATGTCTTAATTGCTAACGGCTGAGGGGATGATATAAATCCAGCTAGGGCCCATGCAGGAAGCAAATGTACTGTAAGTCCCCATGGTCCCTAGTATGGTGATCTACCTTCAGTTGTTAGCGATCTATAGCCCATTTTTAGATTGTGTTGTCCCCTATGGTTAAAATGTTTTAGATTCAATTACTAGTTTTACATATATATATCTGTGATACTCTAGTTGCTTTACTGTCCTTCGATGACAGGTTTTATAATATATACATATTCCATTACAATGTAAAATGTTCTCGTCACGATATGGCTGAAATATTGCCGATGTGACGTTAAATATTAACTCACTCACTCACTCATATTGAAATTCAACAACCCTGTCAAAACTGGTCTATGACATGTGGCTCAAGCGAAACAAAGGTGGACTCTGGATACGCCAAAAGTGCCAATCTCCGCAACTGGTAACCATAGTCAGCCACCGACTCATCCTTGCCCTGTCTACGGTTCCTAAATTCAGTCCGAAAAGCTACACCTCTTTCTCTAGGATTGAACCTCTGAGTTAGTACACCTTTAATTGGACCGTAATCACTCAACTGTAATAGCGTAAGGCTACTGAGAAGTTTTTGAGCTGTACCTCGTAAACACATAGTTAACTGTTGTGCTTTTTCTCCACTAGACCACCCATTCCATGCAGCAACTTGTTCAAAATGAACAAGAAAATCCGGGCATTCACAACTTTTACCATCAAAAGTATCCGGTCTAACTTCACGATGGGTAGGTTTCGTCACGAATGGTTGCACAAATGAGCTATCACAATCACTATGATAAACCCTATCACCTGTCCAGTTAGAATCTATCAAAGAAGTATTTGGCATCGGACCAGGACCCAACCCTGCTGCTGAAGGTGCCCTCTGATTTCATTCTGCCTGTCAAAGTGTCTATCAATATAGAACAAGTTTTATGGATAACAACTTCTTTATTTCGTGAGTGCGACGTTTCGATACAGATTCTTGTACCGTTGTCAAGCAAGAGTGATACATGAAGTGTAGGCGCTGCATATATATACTGTATATAACAATGAAACAACATAATAGACAAAGGAAACAACATAATTGCCATGATTGGCTAAGCAGTAAGCTGAAGAAGCCAGTGAGTACACAAAGGATAGTGAATGGAAGCCAGAGATGTAGTTACAATGAGATGTTTAAACAATAGATGCGATGTTTATACAATAGATTGTGCTTGGTGGAGAGTGGATCATAAGCTGATGGAATGAAGTATCCTTGGTCACGGTTGATGGTGGGCTTGTGGCGTTTGATGTGAATGGCTTCTGTGAGCTTGCGTTTAGTGAAGTCCGTTTGGTTGTTGGCGAGAATGGTGATGTCGGACCACTCTATTTGATGATTGGGGTTAGCTTTGATGTGGTCAGAGACAGCTGACTGCCAAAAAGATCTAGACCAGAATCAGCCCCCATCAAGATATCCATTCCTACATTGGTAAAACCATTGGTAAACCATCACACCAAATCAGCCGACTCCTGAAACAACAGGCAGGCATAGACACAACCTTCTCAGCGTCCTCCAGCCTCAACAACCTCCTCCATGCCAATGGAAGAAAACAACCCACCGTCAACAACAACAACCCGAAATGTGTTATTTACAAAATAAACTGTGATTGTGGACAATGCTACATAGGTGAAACATCCCGACCCATCAACACCCGAGTCAAAGAACATCGCACCTCTGTTGCTAATTCCGACACCAAAGTCAGCTATCTCTGACCACATCAAAGCTAACCCCAATCATCAAATAGAGTGGTCCGACATCACCATTCTCGCCAACAACCAAACGGTTTCACTAAACGCAAGCTCACAGAAGCCATTCACATCAAACGCCACAAGCCCACCATCAACCGTGACCAAGGATACTTCATTCCATCAGCTTATGATCCACTCCTCCACCAAGCCCAATCTATTGTATAAACATCGCATCTATTGTTTAAACATCATCTCTGGCTTCCATTCACTATCCTTTGTGTACTCACTGGCTTCTTCAGCTTACTGCTTAGCCAATCATGGCAATTATGTTGTTTCCTTTGTCTATTATGTTGTTTCATTGTTATATACAGTATATATATGCAGCGCCTACACTTCATGTATCACTCTTGCTTGACAACGGTACAAGAATCTGTACCGAAACGTCGCACTCACGAAATAAAGAAGTTGTTATCCATTATTGTTCTATATTGTACGTCTCAACTTCTAAAATGCCACTCAAACAAAGTGTCTATCTACAAATGGAACACCAAAATGTACAGAACGTCTGTCCTGTCTATCACTTCTACCATAAGCTGACCCTTGCTGAAAATTCAGCCTGGCTTCATTCACAGATGATGAAATACCCATCATCTCACTATTACCGGCTTGTGTACTAACACTTGGGAGAGGATGAGATGAACTAATGTTTTCAACTGAACGACAAACATTAGGTGTAGAGGTTGCAAATCCCACTTGACCTAAATCTAACAAGTCAATAAGAGCATGGTCCAGATTATCTGGAGGGGACTCAACCCGATCATGTGCCATGGAATATAAATCACGTGTCTCCCCTGATGCCATTTTGTTTGACTATAGATGCTGCAAAACCAAGAACTTTACAATTCTGCTTCTAAACGTACTCTATGAATGTACTTTATGACCTCCAATCAGTTTCAACAGGATATACCTGTATGATGAAACAGACCTTGATTTACATAATAAAACTACAAAATGTAATACTTTACTTGGTTTTGGGATTTTTCCTCTTTTTTTTTCTTACGGAAACAATGTTACTTATTCTGACAAGAATCAATCAGTTTTCACTAAGAAATTGACAAAACTATCCGGGTCACGGCACCAAATCTGTAATAGGCGCCTGCGCTTAGGGAGGTCACCCAGTGACAGTAAGGTTCATATATCAAGGTTCGATGTTGGTATTTAACGTTCTCCGTTGTGGACTTTGCGTTGTGTATTTTAATTAGATGTTAATCTTGTGCCTGGAGAACAGAACCTTTCATGGACCTTATTTCAGGTTCTATGGTAGTTCAAGTCATTGATAAAGATTCTTCACAAAATAAGAACAAAGTTCAGATTTCACCAAATAAATACAGTTTATTAATTAATAAAAATAAGCTAAGCCAAACTCAACAAAATAAACAGAAGCCAGCATCACACATACTCATAACTATCAGTCTATGAAACCCAAAGAAAAAGAAAGTCCTAACTAATTAATTCCTACATACAAAGCCTACTCTAATGCTATCGTTTCCCCCAAACCACTAAATATTCTCCTACTATATATATATATTACAACCCCAATAATGTGAAAAGAAAATAACTTTTATTCCCAACAAAAAACCCATTTTCCTACATTATAATGAATATCAACTCGACATGCGCGTCTTGCACTTGAGAACATTGAATTATTTACTCTCAATATGTTTTTTGAGACTGTGTATATAGTGTTTTCTTATGCTTAGGAACGGTTCCCTGTTTTTCACAATTTTCGATTATCACATTAACAGTTGTAAAACATGTCACTAACGTATCAAAGGGAAAGAATTCCGCCCGTAACCCCCGGTTTTTTAATCATTCTATGCCAAAGAATACAATGGCTTGTGTAGATGTCTTTTTTATAGAAAGCATGCCCTGACCCTAACCCTAAACCAAACATAATGTTAAATTTAAACCCTAAACCTTAACCCTAACCCCTAGAAATAATCATAATATATAGAATACATTTCAAGCGGGGGGGAATACTATCATAATAGTGCTAAATTGGGTATGTACATTTGTGTATGTTGTCTTCACAGGTTTTTGAGATCGGTTCCTTTGATTGCTGTCCAAATTATCCAATACATATTTTTTTTAAGAATGTCACAAATCCAAAATTTGCCCTAATGCTTCATGTCAGATATTTACAGCATATCACAATATTAATGTCAGTAGAAAATATCACTACATTACACGTCAGAGATGTAACGTGTAAGCAAGACGGCCTACCGTCTCTTTTGCCTGATACTCACACAGCGGTGCTAATTGAAACTCGATTCGGTGTGAGTGAGTTTGGTTTTACGCCGCTTTTAGCAATATTCCAGCAATATCACGGCGGGGGATACCAGAAATGGGCTTAACACATTGTACCCATGTGGGGAATCGAACCCGGGTCTTCGGCGTGACGGGCGAACGCCTTAACCACAAGGCTACCCAACCGCCCCTCGGTGTGAACATTGGGAGGGGTGATTAAAGCGTGGTTGTTAATTGACAGACTTTCTTGCTCTCTGTCATCAGATGTGTGAAGACTAATACAATAAACAGGTCTGTTATCGATTTTTTGTCAGACAAAATGTAAAAAATCAGCCTACAATGTGAGCTAGATCTATAGGCCCGAGATGTATGTCTAGATTGTGATTACTGCAGGTAATTATTTAGGCTTTGTTGGTCATATGTTTAATAATATGGTGAAATGTTTTATTTCCAATGTAGTTAAACATTTCTCTCAGTTGGGGTTGCCATCATTTATAACTTACATGAAATCCTGCATTACCAGAATAAAAAAGAGTCCTCAACATCCTTGAAAATTTAAATGTTCTGCAATCGTTATCTGGGTTTTCGAACCAAGTGCCTTGAATGGGAAAAGAGATTTTTGTAAATGAAATTTTGTGAAAAGGTAAAGTTTAAAAATGTAGTATTATTAATATTTTAACACTGCATATAATGATGCATCTTTCTATTTATTTGTCAGTGAAATACAAATCAACAATATTTCTTTTAAGTATATTGATATGATACTGATTATTGATATAAACTGACTGCCTCAGAGGTATAGTGGTTAGAGCGTCTACCCAGAGAGCGGAAGGTCGTGGATTTCGATCCCCAGTCATATCATACCAAAAGATGTTAAAATGTTGTACTTGTTTGTCCCTGCCTGACGCTCGGCATTAATGGGTACAACAAGGGCTGGTCGGTTCGGAGTCAGTATAATGTGTCTGAGTGGGGTATTCTTGCTTAACTGCAGCACGGTATCTCAGTGGGCTAGCACTATAAAACCAGATTAAGCCTGGGCTAGTACAAGCAGGCACACATACACACGAATACACGTCATCAAATGAGCTAAATATTCTCAAGTACGATGTTAAACCCCATTTCACCTCACCTCACATGATAGAAACTACCGGGGAAAAGATTGTTATCCCCGACTTCACTAGGCCACAAAATAGAAATAAAGACGAATGTGAGATTTATGATAAGCATTTTACAAACAGAAATCATATTTCAATAATTTGACTGAAAATTCATTGTAATGCAGGTCTTGCATTTGCCACAATTCATTTCTTCTAAGTATGTTGATATGATATTGATTATTTATATATAAATCCCTACTATGTCAAAACTCTAAGAAAGACAAATAAATAATAACACAGTGTTTCTATCTCCTTTCTTTACCCACTCAGTAAGGGAGTGTAACCTTTCAAGACATATTCACTTAAGCTCACCATCCCTTAGGTGCACAGGTATTAAAGACCTTCCCTATCATCCCAAATTAAAATTTAGATAAAGCAAATGTCATTGTAAGAATAAAATTACATTGTTGCTCATAATCTATAACCTAAAATAGTCCTTGCATGCCACATTTTCTGCATCACAGTGGGTGGTGTAACTTCATGAGCAATAGTTTTAGAATAATAATAATAATAATTTTATTTTGTATTTTTGCACATATGTTTTTGTCGGATGATCCTCTGGTAATGCATGTCAAGACTCATGATGAAAGCAAAGAATTCCACAGCTATTTTAAGCGTGCCAAGGTTGTTGAACAGAATCTGACATTTGAGGTTGACTTTGCTGATGGGGATGTACTGCTGGACGGTACAGCGATGGGAGTAAACCAGGTGAAATCCTTCACCAAGTCTGCCCAGAGTCGGTCATTTGTGGAGAAGCTTTCTGAGAAACCATTGCATCGTGTGTACATGCAGTGTGTGGAACAGAATAGCAATCCAACCGACTCCTTTGCCTGGATGAAGTCGGCTGGTCTTAAATGTGAAACTGAGGGCTTTCCTTTTGCTGCTCAGGACCAGTCACTTCCCACTCGTAATCGCCAATGTGTGATTCTTACAGAAAATATCAATATGATATGTCGACTATGTAATGAATTTACGGAGACTGTCCAACATCTTGTCAGTGGATGCCCTTCTTTGGCACAAACAGCATATCTTAAACGACATGATGGCATGGCTCGTTGCTTTTACTACCGTCTCCGCCATGTCTGTGGCTTTGACTCCGAGGTCCATCCATGGTACGACCCTGAACATGTCCAGTGCATTTTTGAAAATGATGCTTTCAAACTTCTGTGGAATAGGCCCATATACAGCCTCAGAAGAATTCCTGCCAACAAACCTGATCTTGTCCTTTTTGATAAAGCCAATGAATTTATTTATATCATTGAATTTTCTGTCCCGTTTGACAGCAATGTGATTGGCAAGATTCAGGAAAAGCATGATAAATATGCGGACCTCGCCTTTGAAATCTCTCGCTTGCATCCCAAGTATACTGTCGTCAGGCTCCCCATTGTTCTCGGTGCCCTTGGTTTTAGTACCTCATGATCTCTTGGCGGAGATCAGGAGAGTGTCCGGGTTCTCCACCGGGAGCACAGCCCTTCTGACAATCTGGGTACTGCAGAAGGCTGCAGTGTTGGGGAGCCTTCATATTCTCCGGAAAGTTCTTGGTGGGTTCGACTAGGCAGTGTTTCCCGGGAGAAGTCCCATTCGCTGTCTGGGCTGCCATTAGAGGGGGGTGAGGGCTCTGAGCTGATGATGAGCCTTACTAGCCTGACTGTGCCAGGATCACCCGAACCCTCTCTGCTGCATACTATCTTTAATCTGTAAAACATAATAATAATATATATACCTTGTGTTTTTTCAGTGGTGTCCACTTCTGACTGCCTTACAATCTCATCATGCTAAACATTTTCAAAGTGTACGCCTGATGGTTTTATGACCAGTAATCTGTTACCTGTTCAACCAGGGTTGTGTTGTTCAGTCTCTGGTTGCAAGGCCCCACACAAATGCTACAGTTGGAAGTGGGATTTCTAATTGTCACTTTAAACAGCTAACAAACAAACCTTGAACTCACATAAAGTGTCATGTTGTTTCTTCTTCATGTCTTGACCTTGACTCTTACCCCCTCCATGCCATATGTCTGGTGGCATGGGTCACAATAACTAAGAACCACTTTGACACTTTGGGTCTAAAACCATGAGCCTCTGAAGATGAAATAAAGAAGTCGCTTCGCACCTTGGCGAAGAAATGGCACCCTGACAAAAACAAGAATGCAGGTGTGGAAGAAAGGTTTAAAGAAATTTCGGCAGCTTATGACTACCTGCAAAGTAAAGATCGCAGAGAGATACTTGAGAGAGATGTTAACAAGAAAAGAGAAGCAAAGAAACCAGAAACCAGAAATGAACAACCGTCAAGTTTCTATGAAACAGCCAACAATTCAAAAACACAGTCAGAGAAGAAGAAAAACAAACAACCAGGGAAGAAGAAAGATCCATTCTGGACAAGCTCCTTCTTTAGGAAGAATAAGGAAGAGAGGAAGAAACCATGGCATCAGAAAGGGGAGAGAACTCCTTCATATGAAGAAGAAAAGGCTGCACCGAAATACAACAAACAGCCTCCAACATTTTCTGATGCATTTCGCTCATTTGTCAATCATCTATATTCTGAGTTGGATGCTTTCTTTTATGAGCCGGGGCAGGAAGATGCATTTGCTGACATCCTCTCTCCAGTATCTGTCAGTCCTCACAGGAAAACCAAGAAGAAACCGCCGATGAGACCACGTAATGTTGCCCCAGAAACAGGGAAGGCGGAGGGATTGGATGAAGAATACATGTTTACACCACGTTCAGGTCATCAAGAGAGGACATATGCATCTGATGACAATGACGGGGAATTCGGATACGGTGAGTTTGTTGATTTGAACTTTTTATAAAAATGGTGGTACAGTGTTGTATGTTTGGGTTGCTCATATGGCATAACTAGTGATAAGTGATTTCATTGAAAACTATGTTGCCAGAACATTGGGTGAAGTGAATTTAGTTCACCTTGTGCCCTGAATATTGTTGTGAGGCACAACCAGAAATACATGGTAATGTCCCATGGCACTGGATCGTCATGGAAATGTCCCGGGTCACTAAAACATCATGATATTGTCCCGTGTCACTAAAGCATCATGATATTGTCCTGGGTAGCTAAAGCATCATGATATTGTCCCGGTCTGCTAAAACATTATGATATTGTCTCTGGCTGCTAAAACAGCATGATCTTGTCACATGTCACTAAAACAGCATGATATTGCCCCGAGTCACTAAAACAGCATGATATTGTCACATGTCACTAAAACAGCATGATATTGTCACATGTCACTAAAACAACATGATCCTGTCCCATGTCACTAAAACAGCATGATATTGTCTCGAGTCAATAAAACATCATGATATTGTCCCGGGTTGCTAAAACATCATATTTTCCCATGTCACTAAAACAGCATGATATTGTCCCGGGTCACTAAAGCATCATGGTATTGTCCCGTGTTGCTAAAACATCATGATATTGTCACATGTCACTAAAACAGCATGATCTTGTCCCATGTCACTAAAACAGCATGACATTGACCCGAGTCACTAAAACAGCATGATCTTGTCCCATGTCACTAAAACAGCATGATATTGTCCCAAGTCACTAAAACAGCATGATATTGTCCAATGTCACTAAAACAGCATGATCTTGTCCCGTGTTGCTAAAACATCATGATATTGTCCCATGTCACTAAAACATCACGATATTGTCCCATGTCACTAAAGCATCATGATATTGTCCCATGTCACTAAAACAGCATGATATTGTCCCATGTCACTAAAGCAGCATGATATTGTCCCGTGTTGCTAAAACATCATGATATTGTCCCATGTCACTAAAACAGCATGATCTTGTCCCATGTCACTAAAACAGCATGATATTGTCCCGAGTCACTAAAACAGCATGATCTTGTCCCATGTCACTAAAACAGCATGATATTGTCCCAAGTCACTAAAACAGCATGATATTGTCCCAAGTCACTAAGACAGCATGATATTGTCCCATGTCACTAAAGCATCATGATATTGTCCCATGTCACTAAAACAGCATGATTTGGTCCCGAGTCACTAAAGCATCATGATATTGATCCGGGTTGCTAAAACATCATGATATTGTCCCTGGTTGCTAAAACATTATGATATTGTCTCGAGTCACTAAAACAGCATGATCTTGTCCCATGCCACTAAAACAGCATGATATTGTCCCAAGTCACTTAGACAGCATGATATTGTCCCATGTCACTAAAGCATCATGATATTGTCCCATGTCACTAAAACAGCATGACATTGTCCCGAGTCAATAAAACAGCATGATATTGATCCGGGTTGCTAAAACATCATGATATTGTCCCTGGTTGCTAAAACATTATGATATTGTCTCGAGTCACTAAAACAGCATGATATTGTCCCATGTCACTAAAACAGCATGATATTGCCCGAGTCACTAAAACAGCATGACATTGTCCCGAGTCACTAAAACAGCATGATCTTGTCCCATGTCACTAAAACAGCATGATATTGTCCCAAGTCACTAAACAGCATGATATTGTCCAATGTCACTAAAACAGCATAATATTGCCCTGGGTTGCTAAAGCATCTTGATAAAGTTCCGGGCTGCTAAAACATGATGATATTGTCCCTGGATGCTAAAACAGCATGATCTTGTCACATGTCACTAAAACAGCATGATATTGTCCCATGTGACTAAAACAGCATGATATTGTCCCGAGTCACTAAAACAGCATGATGTTTTCCGAGTCACTAAAGCATCATGATATTGTCCCATGTAACTAAAACATCATGATATTGCCCCGCGATGCTAAAACAGCATGATTTTGTCCCGTGTCACTAAAGCATCATGATATTGTCCCGTGTTGCTAAAACATCACGATATTGTCCTAGGTCACTAAAACATCACTATATTGTCCCGGGTCACTAAAACAGCATGACATTGTTCCGAGTCACTAAAACAGCATGATCTTGTCCCATGTCACTAAAACAGCATAATATTGTCCCGGGTCACTAAAACAGCATGATATTGTCCAATGTCACTAATACAGCATGATATTGTCCCGCATTGCTAAAACATCATGATATTGTCCCATGTCACTAAAACATCATGATATTGTCCCGGGTCACTAAAACAGCATGATATTGTCCAATGTCACTAATACAGCATGATATTGTCCCGCATTACTAAAACATCATGATATTGTCCCATGTCACTAAAACATCATTATATTGTCCTGGGTCACTAAAACAGCATAATATTGTCCCGGGTTACTAAAACAGCATGATATGATACAATTATTGACTTCTAGTAAGGTTGATCCAATGGTTGATCCAATGATTTATAGACCTTGGACATGTGATATTCACTGAGGCTTCAACCAAACTTAATTCAATAATTGTTTTATCATATGACAAAAGTACTGAATACATGTTCTTCGGTGACATAGACGATGTATTTCCTTGTCTGATACAGTCATGAATATTCGTGGTGTCGTGTCGTCTGCCATTTTGATACAGATGGGACGTAACCCTAAACCAACTTAGTCACAGTGACGAAACAATGCCTATCGCTTCCTTATCTAGTGTGATACACGCAGTGCAGAGTTCACAGCTGGAATATCCCAAATCTATTTTTAGCCACGGGAGGTGCTTGGATTGTTATATCAACATCTCGCGACGTGGCGAAGTTGACATCGCAAAGCTGTCATGTGACTAAGAGGGCCAATCAGAAAGGCAGAAATCTACCCGTCATATAATGATGTCCCATGTGACTAAAACAGCATCGTATTTTCACGGGTCACTTAAACATCATGATATTGTCACATGTCACTGAAACATCATTGTTTGGTGAAACTGACACTTCATGGTATTATTCTGTGTCACTGAAACCTTTAAATGGTTGTTACAGATGCTGACAAAGCAGCTGCTAGGATGCCTTGCAGCCACTGTTGGAAGCCTGTCAGAGCCTATAAGCTGGTGAGTCATGTGGGAAGCCTGTCAGAGCCTATAAACTGGTGAGTGATGTGGGAAGCCTGTCAGAGCCTATTAACTGGTGAGTGGTGGGGGAAGCCTGTCAGAGCCTATAAACTAGTGAGTCATGTGGGAAGCCTGTCAGAGCCTATAAACTGGTGAGTGATGTGGGAAGTCTGTCAGAGCCTATAAACTGGTGAGTCGTGTGGGAAGCCTGTCAGAGCCTGTAAATTGGTGAGTGATGTGGGAAGCCTGTCAGAGCCTATAAACTGGTGAGTCATGTGGGAAGCCTGTCAGAGCCTGTAAACTGGTGAGTGATGTGGGAAGTCTGTCAGAGCCTATAAACTGGTGAGTGGTGGGGGAAGCGTGTGGGAGCCTATAAACTGGTGAGTGATGTGGGAAGCCTGTCAGAGCCTATAAACTGGTGAGTGATGTGGGAAGCCTGTCAGAGCCTATAAACTGGTGAGTCATGTGGGAAGCCTGTCAGAGCCTATAAACTGGTGAGTGATGTGGGAAGCCTGTCAGAGCCTATAAACTGGTGAGTCATGTGGGTAGCTTATCAGTGCCTATAAACTGGTGAGTCATGTGGGAAGCCTGTCAGAGCCTATAAACTGGTGAGTCGTGTGGGAAGCCTGTCAGAGCCTATAAACTGGTGAGTGGTGGGGGAAGCCTGTCAGAGCCTATAAACTAGTGAGTGATGTGGGAAGCTTATCACAGCCTATAAACTAGTGAGTGATGTGGGAAGCCTGTCAGAGCCTATAAACTAATGAGTGATGTGGGTATCCTATCAGTGCTTCTAGACACATGTGTAATGTAAGATGATGCTGAGGGAAGATTAACCGGTGAGTTGTTTGGGAAGCGTGTGGGAGCCTATAGACGATGATGAGTTGTATGTGAAACCTGTCCGGTTTCATGGACTGGTGAGTTATTTGAGCAGGCTTTCAGAGCCTGTAGAGTGGTGAGTTGTGAAGCCTGTTAAAGTCTATACACTTGTAAATTTTGTGAGAAACCTCTCAGGGCATATATAGCCTGGTAATATCACTGTTTCGTGTGATATCAGACTATGCCACTATATCCTGAAAACAGCAGACACCTCTGCAAATTGTTGCTCAGAGAGTCATGATTCCTTGGACCCAGAAACACTTTGGAATTAAGATGCTCCTAGCCCTGAACAGGCCTCGATTGTTTGTAACAGCTAGAGGATGTTTCTTCCAGTACCAACATGAGCAGGCTTGTGGCAAGTTCACTGACAGCTCCAATGATGAGGATACATTCTCAGACATCAATTCCCGACCTCAAAAGGCAACTGGTGACTGGCGTCACACACGTGCAGAACTCCATAATCATATCCGCAGGGCTAAGCAGGCAGCTAGGGCCAGAGCTGCTGAGGAACGTTTCGGTAAGAAGGCTGCCTGACTCCTGAATCCTGAGAATACCCCTGTGGTGACTCACTAGATCCCTTTGTCTGTCATTATACGTAGGTGGCTCATATCAGTCAGAGGTATATCAGCAATAGACTTTCTTATTTACAGGTCACCACGACCTTATTGCTGAGTACAACATTTAGCAACAAACAGTCCTGCTGGGTTGATGCTAATCATTGAAGTGGGAGCCTGTTGTATTTAGTCAGTAGTCAAAAGCCAGAATCCGACTGCAGTTCTTTCATCCAATATCAACTACAGACCACCATGACTCAACTTATCATAGACCAGCTGCTTGGTTTTTGTCCCTTGTGAAAGTCAAGTGGGCTCTTTGTATGTAACATATGATTCGTATGTCCTTCTTTCCTAAGCATGTAGGAAATAGGGTCTGCATGTAAAATCTGTGTCACTCACTGTCAAACACATAAATTCCCGATATTTTGCAGAACACAGGGATGCCTGTGTTGCAATTTATTGCAATACAGTTTATTAGCCAGTACATGGCCCTACTGAATGGGGTCACAATGTCTATAAACTGTCACCTAAACTGTCCCTGACTGTTATTGTCATTCAGAAACTACAAATACATATGTATTCCCTTTGAAATCTGTGCTAACTGGTGTCAGTTTCAAATGAATTCACAGCCACTGATTGACAATAATGTGAGGCTGAAGAAAGTAATAAGCTTGATCAATTATCTTCGAAATATGTACCTTCCGTTTTTTTCTGCTCCACTGAGGGTAACTGGGTTTATCTCAACTGCTACTAACTAAATGTACCCCAGCTACATTTTTATATATCTGTCTAATTGTCATTATGTACACTGGTACTTCATGTCCATGTTCTCGGTTCGCCAGTGTATCCGACCAAAACATGTTACATATTTAAAACCAGAATCACTTTCACTTATTGCCCTTGAACGCAAGCCTTTAGACTTTCACAGTATTGTCTCTCACTGCTTAATAATTGATTCTCTACTCCTTATAGCTGCTCGTGGTTTGTCTTTGTTGCATTCAGTGACATGTACTGCTCACTTTTTTGTTGTTGTATTTCTGTCATCAAATCCAATGTTACATGTTTAAGACTTCAAGCGTTATCAGGCTAGTATAGATACTTGAATCCTCAAATTTCCAGCACCCGTGACATGCAAATGGTGTGGTCGTACGTTCAACAAGCAGGCAGGCAGCAGAACATCACATCCCCGTGTGTGAGAGATGGACAAAACAACATGGCAGGCCCATGAATCCTACTGGTCACACAACTACCTCCAGCATGGGCAGCAAGTCAGAGAGAGCTACGCAGGTTAGAGTTTCTGTTTGATTGCTTGAGTGAGTCAAACTCATATATGTATATATTTGTGTTTGAGGGGTGTACTACTGTCCAAACAACTACCTCTAAGTAAGTCAAATACGACTACAAAGGTTGAAGGTTCACTCATTAATGTACTCTTAAATCATTTTCTTTGCTTGCTGTTTCAGCATGCGGGGCAGTGGGGTAGCCTAGTGGTTAAAGCGTTCGCCTGTCATGACGAAGACCCGGGTTCGATTCCCCACATGGGTACAATGTGTGAAGCCCATTTCTGGTGTTTCCCGCCGTGACATTGCTCGAATATTACTAAAAGTGGCGTAAAACAACAACTCACTCACTGTTTCAGTATGCAAAGAAAGTTCGTCGTCCAGGGGGCGCGAAGGAAGATATAGGTGACTCCAGTGAAGATGAAACTCCAGGATCTCAGAGGTATGGTCACCAGGCAACACATGGTGCCAGGGACAGAGGCAAATCAAAAGGTAATTCTCCCTTTGTGGGACAAGAAAGTAACACTTGCAGTCAGTTCAACATGTAGTGTTTTGTGTAAACATCACATATTTTATACCTCTGACTTGCCACATGAACCAGTTATCACATGCTCTATTTGTAAACTTATCTTATCTCATGTTGTGCACTTTTCCTTCTTCATTTGAACATGGAGTGGAAACAGTCTTGTGTCCAATGATCGACCAAGGTATGACTCATGCTTTACATGGGCTCCTTATGACTACATACATCAACAGAGGGGGTAGGGGAAGTGTTCGGGTGAGATGTTACAAGAGACCGGAAACTTTGTTTCCACACCATGGTCGAAAGAACAAGGGAAAGTGTGTAACATGAGATAGGATAAGTATTATAAATCTACAATATATAGTTAAAATGTGGCCAAATTGGGGATTGCACTTGCCCAGTAAATGGGGTTGAAACTCATCCAGGATTTGGGACCGCTCACCAGATTCAGTCAGCAAACCAACCACTCAGTCACCATGGTTTCCACAAATATGGAATTCTGACAACTGTGATTTGCTGAGACTATTAGTAAACCACAATTTGAAAAATACATGGGCTTGGCATTACATTTGAATGTAGACTAAGAATTGGTTGCTGCTGTGAAGATAATGTTTACAGACCTGGATGTGACCTCCCACAATACAAGGATAACCAACCTGCAGAACAGATAGAACAAATTTATTGAGTGACTGAGTACGTTGAAATTTTACCTCACATCATCAATATTTCGGCCATAACGTGACGACAAAAGTCATATATTGAGAATAAATGCATGTATACTCCCCATCAAAAGTTTAGACTCACTAGTGTAAATGTAGCGACTTACTACAGTCAACTCTTCTAAACTCTTTTGCAAAATTTTCCATACTGTTTAAAGGTACTGTTTACACATGAACTGATGTATTGTAAAACAAATAAGTAATGTTGAAAAGGTTATTGTCATGGGTTTAAAAAATTATGAAACTGAGTGAAAATTGGCAAATCTTTAACAAAATTGTATACCACAACACAGCTGTTCTCATGCACGATATTTACACATGCCTTTTAGCAATTTAATGCATGATCCTCGTGCAATTCATCTGCATAAAGTTTCCAGTTGGTTCCCCGAAGTTAGTGGAGAAATTCATCTTCGATGTAACCACACACATATGCATAACATATAGTGAGTGCTTTAAGTGAGTCTAAACTTTTGATGGGTAGTATATCTTTTTCCTTATCCTGACTCTTGCTTAATTGCTTGTCTTCTTCCTCTTGCGAAGATAGTGGAACACTTGTATGTCCTTATTGAAGCTCCCTTCAATAAAGCGTACGTAAAATCACTAATCACTACTCACCAAGAGTTGTCCCTCCTTCCGTTTTGGCGGGAACTGGCGCCACTGTTCCCCCACATGCTTCACTCTCTCCTTCTTCGCCCAGTGAGCAGGTTGTGAGAGCGCCTGTGTCTCCTTACGGCACTATATCCTTTGATTAATTAGTTAGTTACCTCTATAAGTTCTTTATAGAGGTTTAGGTAGTATCCTTCATCAATATGATTTGATATGTATTCCTATTTACCACTGTTTATTCACGGTGTATTCCGTGTTTGGTTCAGTAGTTTACGTTCATGGAAATCTGTTCCGTATGTAAGTTACGTTTCTCTACTGCTGACCCGCACCTAATATGCCCTAGCTGCACGGTACCATGTCCTTTCAGCTCACGCTGCAATTATTGCAAGCATTTATCAACTTGTGCATTTAATAAATATCTTCTTTGCGTCCTGAGACGTGCTGCAGATAGGTCGCGAAGGATTAACCCAGTCATGGATAATTCAGCTGAGTCCCTCACCAGTCAACTGCTGTCGGACGACCCCCTACCGTCTGGTGTTCCGCTGGAGTTTCCCTCGGAGGAGAGGCATGGGACGAAGTCCGCCACCTCCCAAGAAGAAGCCTGCATCTCCAGACATCCCGTCGTCGCAGTCCAAGACTCGGAGGTCGTCAACCACCCAGCGCAGACTTCGCACCCCCAGGGCAGCGTTCACCACCAAGGGGAAGTCAGCGCAGACTACTAGAACTTTCTCGGCCGAGATTGAAAGAGACAGCCAGCCCAGGGCCCGAGCCTTTGCTAAGGCTCCAACGCAGACATCATCTCTGAGGGGCCTGCCATCAACGTGACTTCTGCCAGCAGAACTACACTACTGGACCAGCCTGCGTGAAGGTCGACTCAGCCAGCCCCTGCGGAGGACTCGGACGATCAGCGTTCGCGAAGGCGTTCGCGAAGGGCTACACGATCTTCACCTGCTTTGGACTCGGATGATCAACATTCGCGAAAGCGTTCGCGAAGGAGGAATCGCTCATCCCCGGACTCTGGCTCGGACAACCAGCCTTCGCGAGGAGGAGTGTCAACGTCCCCTTCTCAGCACTCCTGTTACTGAGGATGATGGCGGCATCATATTTTCGGACTCTGAAATACGTTACTGGATGTCTAATGGATTGGACTTGGCTTCACCATCTAAAGACGATAATCCGGCTCACACCTATCTTATGAGAGATGATGATGTCGACGCGCTCACTCTGCCCCCCGATCGATCCCATCGCAGCGGTTCCACAGAACCTGGATGCAGCTTTCAAGACAGCCACTAAAGCCCAGGCGCCACACTTACCACAGTTCAACGCCAGGAAGTTCTCCTCCCATAACATGGATCCTTTCCTTAAAGCTCAGGAAATAGACGAGAACTTTAAAGTAATCAGCGATGCCAAGGCCAAGTCTTACAAGATTGAGGACCGCAAGCTGGCTCAAGTAGAAACTATGACCAGAAGAATGTTCTTCGGCCTCAACAGATCTCGCACAGTCAACGAAACGCTCATCGCCAAGTTTCGAGATTCCACTGTGGAAGAAGATAGAATGATCTATTCGGCCCTCCTTATGCAGAAGAAGGACCAACGGTTCATGAGAGACCACCTTTCGACCATCTCTGCAGCGCTAACTCTGGCTCGTCGTCAAGGTCTCCTCGCCTCCTGCAGTTGGAGTGAACAGTTTACGGCGTCACTCTACACAGCCCCGTGGTCAACTCCTTCCATCTTCGCTGGAGAAATCGACAGGGTTGCTAAGGAACTCACCAAAGATTCAAGAGAAGTCCTAATGATCAAGTCCATAGACACTCTGGCCAGCGTCATCAGGCAGACAACCCAGCGTTACTCAGGAAGATCCAAGTTTCCTGGAATTCAGAGGGCACGCGACAGGAAAGTGGCTAGCTCCAGAGGCGGGAAGGACTCTTTTCGCTGCCCATCTGGCAACTACAGGGGAGGACCCGGACGAGGCAGGGCACCCAGAGGCTCCCGGAATTATCGACGATGAAAGACGGGTTTGGAACGACTGGAGTCTTCCACCCCCAGCCGTTCCTGTACAACCTTCCCAAGTGGGTGGACGTCTACAACTCCACTGGGAAAAGTGGGGAATACTACAAGATCCATACGTATCCAACATCCTAAGACACGGATATCACATCCAACTACAGGTCAACCCTCACAAGTTCGACTTCAAGACACATCAGATAGAGAAGTTACGAGAGGCTGTCTCATCTCTTCTAACCAAGTGGCCATAAAAATTGTGGATCAAGTCAACATCGAACCAGGTTTCTACTCCCCAGTTTTCCTGGTTCCAAAGAAAAATTCCCAAAGAAAAGTTCCGACTCATCTACAATATGAGCACGTTCAACAGGGATTATCTACGCAGACCTCCCAGGTTCCACATGATACATCTACCTCAACTAATCCACCTCGTCCGTCCGATGGACTACATGGCCAGCATAGATCTACAGGATGCCTACCTGCATATCCCGATACATCCCGACTCGAGAAAATACCTCAGATTTACACTGGACGGGCTACATTACCAATGGAAGGTTCCGCCATTTGGAATATCATCAGCCCCCCTGGTTGTTTACAAGAGTAACGAAACCCATAGTCACATATCTACATCATCGAGGGCTACGCAGTGCATTCTACCTCGACGACGGGATTCAAGTAGATCAAGATCCAGTCCGTCTCAAACTACAATTGAATTTCACCATCAATCTACTCACTCAGCTAGGATGGTTAGTGAATCTACTCAAGTCGGACCTAGAACCTACGCAGGACCTACAGTTTCTAGGCATCAGATTTCTCATGATGCAGAATCGTATCGTTGTGCCAGAGGACCGATGGCTCAACATTCAACAGACCATCCCTCAAGCCTTACTCTCTCCGTGGCCACTACGACAGTGGCAGAGTCTGTTGGGTCTCCTCACGTCCGCACAAGACATGACAGCCAGAGGCGACTACAGCTACGCCCTTTACAGGTCCTCATCAACGCTCATCTCTACGACCTACAACCCTTCGATCTACCGAATTACCTCAGACCTCATCTACTATGGTGGACCCGGAGGTCGAATGTTTGCGAAGGCATCTATTTAGCAGAGCCGGAGTTCAAGACCCATCTATACGTAGACA